TTTTCTTAAGCGGCCAATTTCAATAGATATTCACTTTCCTGCTTCCTTTACACTTGTTTCTGTTCTTCTTCACATATTCTTTCTTGTCTAATTTCCAGTTGATGCACAGTCTGAAAGACAAACATCAATTTATTCGCCTCCATTTTATTCATCTCCAACTGGTTATAAGATGAGAGCGCGTCTTTATTTAAATGGCGATGGAAATGCTCGTCGTACACATATGTCACTCTTTTTTGTGCTCATGAGAAGTGTAAATGATCCGATTCTGAAATTCCCGTTCAATTATAAAGTCACTTTTTGTTTATACGATCAAACATCTGCACAACGACATATCATCGATTCATTTCGACCCGACATTAGATCGAGTAGTTTTCAACGACCTCATTTGGATATGAATATAGCCAGTGGCATACCAAAATTTTTCCCATTGGAAATGATTCAGCGGACAGCAAATCCTTATGTACGAGACGACATCATGTTCATCAAAATTATGGTTGATTTTGCAGGTATACACAAAACACTGTTACCTTATGTTTTGAGTCTCAATCCAGGTTTGCCAACTCATGTTCAACAAGCGATGATCAAGCAAGAAGCGGAAAGAAGATCTCAACAGCGATCTAGCGAGCAGCCGCAGATACCTCCGGAATAGTCTACTGTTCAACTTAGCTTACATCAGAGATTGAATCAATAATCAAGAACATACCTCTTTGAAGTTATAAACCTGATGTGACTTAAATCTTTTCTTGTTGTTTGATAATCATGCATTGCTAATCAAACTTTCTTATTTGATAAAATCGTTTCTTTTTTCAGATAAAAAGAAAAGTTTAATAAACTTGAATTACTTTGTTTTACAAGAGCTACTATTTTGGCAGTTTTTCGAAACTTTTTGAAAATAATTCAACATTTAGTCAAATTTTTGACAAATTTCTTTCTATCGTTAACATTTAATGACGCAATCATATTGACTGACATGATATCTAATATTGAAATAGCTTTTATTCGAATAATGATGATGAATCAAAACATATAGACGATTAAATGTCGAAAAACTGGTCGATGAAAAGAAAAAATGATAGAAGATACACTAAAACGTCGTCGAACAAATTATTCCTCAACTAACAATACATTGCGGAGATGTAACAATTATATATCTCTGCATACTAATTAGATTATTTTACTCAGAGAATCTAACGATAATGATTAATACTTCAATTCCATAGATGTATAGAAGAAATTATGTTCATTTCTATAGGCTATCATCAATGATAAAAGGTATGATTGTGAGTGTGGATGTTGGTATGGATGTGTATGCAGAAGAAAGCTGAATAGACAGCCCACACCCACACCTCAACTCGCTTCACCTCGTCACGGACGTAGCATAAAAGAACGTCTTTTTATGCATTTTTCTACATCATGTAACAGTTACTAATTCTTTTATTCCATAAGATCTAATAAAATACAAGGTATACGACAGGTGATTGACCAAAAAGAAAACTTTATATCTCCATGATAATTCTATTGAATGAGCTGGCTTTTCTACTGGTGGTAAACGACATTTTAGAAAGTTTTATATAATAGTATAAAGTTCTCAAACACTCTTACAAAATAAGAAGCACTGTTAAATTCAATATCTTACACAAGTCCTTCTGCAAGGTACAAAAAAGGAACAATATGTAAGAGTATCTCGTAAATCTATTTCTTTTTTTTTTTCATTATTTTTAACTTTTCATCATCCAGACGCATTGCTCTTTTACGGATATTTGTCACTGAATAAAAAGAATATTAGATCGTTTGATTCGTCATATAATCAGAATCGACTTGTTAATAATGTTTATAACCATATTTTGTTTTGTATTCTTCTTTCCTAACTAATATGACACAAATTTAAATAATTCAAAAAAAATAACGAATGTCCGACAAAGGCTTCTCAACTGTGCTTATTGTTCTATCGACACACTAATTACGATTAAATCGAGTAAAACATTTTTCCATAGGGAAGAAACTTTGTAAAAATGTAGTAGAACTTCGTTGTTCTTTTATTAGAAAAAATACCGCTGCATTAAATACAGATTCTATGAAGAACAGATGGTTATCATATATTGTAAAAATGATTGTGAAAGAACACATATGAACGATTGTACGGATTTTTCTGATTGATCATGAATAAACGTTTTTTGCAAATATAAAAAAAATGTGCTGTCAACCAATCTGAGAATTTGTTTGTCATTTACTGAATTGCACGACTTTGCTATTTCTTTTTTATTTGTTCATTTTTTTTCTATTCTCTAAAGTCTCTGTCAATTTTTATTCCTTTAACTTGATATTGCCAGAGAAAGTTGCTAAAGAATCAATACCACTTAAGTGACATACAACAATCAGTATGTCTACTGGAAGCAGAAAAGTAATGATACTATGTCTCTTGGTTATAATGACAATGATGAGAACTTCTTCTGGAGAAACCTGTACATGCTAGTGCTGCACACCCTCTGGCTTCTGTACACCATCATACATTGGCACGCTTACTGTTTCTTCATGCAGTAGTGTTGCAACATGTACAAATGCGTATACGAGCAACTACGCCGTTTGTCAAACTGGATATACAAGTGGTACTTATGGCGCTACTTCTCTGAAGTATCTCTCACCAGTTGTAATATTAATTATTGCTATATTGTGCCTAATTTGGACAAAGGGAGGAATACGCAAGTTGTTCGCACTACTGGACATACATGAAATATTTTTTTTTACTGATTCTTAGTTTAGAAATTGAACGAAACTTTAATATAATATCTGTTTCATCACTTAATTCTAACTTTACTTGTGTGAATTTAAATAACACTAATAAATTTTCTAGTAAACTCTATCTAAATTACATGTTGAATATTGATTTAATTTCGCACTGTTTCTGTTTTCAGCACATTTTTCGGTGGATTTTGCTTGTTAACACGATACATTCGATATGACGAAAAGAAGAACAAAATATTCATATCGAGTAGAGCTTTTTTTAATTTTTATTCGATCAGTATAATTATTTGCAATCATCAACCAAAAAGGAATCAAATCCTTAGAATATTAAAAACAACCAAGCTCCTATGAGATAAGGTATAGGTGAGGGATGTGGATGTGGATCTGTGAAAGAATAGATCTACATCCACACCCACCCACACCCACACCCAAACTTTATGTATGAAAGAGAATCATTTACATTACTTTAAATCATACAAAAAGTCATTTTAATTCATTAAAATCATCTTAACTTATAATAATATTTATAAAAAATCACTTAAACCCGTTCTAACTCAGAAAATCTCAGATCACTGTTTCCTATCTCGAGAAAATT